ATTCCCACCATCAAAATTCATATAACGGACATACCAATGGTTATCATTTAGGAAATGGTAATGGCAGTACGAATGGTACTGCCAGTAACAGCGTTAGTCGACTCTCGCAGTCGACGGGAATGACCCCCAAAGAATTGTCGGAGAATGATGATCTGGCAACTTCATTGATATTGGATCCTCATCTGGGGTTTCAGACGCACAAAATGAACATACGCTATCGTCCGCTCAAAGTGGATAGAGCTCAGTTGAAAATAGTGGTAGATGACTTCATTGCAACTCAAAATTACGATGTGGCAGTGAAGAAAATTTTCAGTGGGCCATGGATTCCTCGAAGCTTCAAAAGTAAAAACAAAATAGCCTTCAAGCGCCTTCATGATCATGTAAGTTCGTTTTATAGATTTATTATTTTGTGCTAAATAAAGGTGATACAATTCCAATCATGCCCGCTATATTTGTTTTTGAATTCTTTATAGATTATACGTTATTTGCGTGTATTCGATAAGGACAGTGGTTTTGTTATTGAGGCCTGCTATCGTTACTCACTTGAGGGTCAAAAGGGAGCTAAAATTAGTTCAACAAAGCGATGGTCAAAGAATGATAAAATCGAATGCCTTGTGGGCTGCATTGCGGAACTATCCGAAGCTGAGGAGGCTGCTTTACTACATACAGGAAAAAATGATTTCTCCGTAATGTACAGCTGTAGGAAAAACTGTGCGCAACTGNGGTCAAAAGGGAGCTAAAATTAGTTCAACAAAGCGATGGTCAAAGAATGATAAAATCGAATGCCTTGTGGGCTGCATTGCGGAGCTATCCGAAGCTGAGGAGGCTGCTTTACTACATACAGGAAAAAATGATTTCTCCGTAATGTACAGCTGTAGGAAAAACTGTGCGCAACTATGGCTTGGTCCAGCTGCGTATATAAACCATGACTGCCGGGCTAATTGTAAATTTGTTGCCACTGGGCGTGATACAGCATGCGTTAAAGTATTGCGCGATATTGAGGTTGGAGAAGAAATTACTTGTTTCTATGGTGAGGATTTCTTTGGCGATGGCAACTGCTATTGTGAATGCGAAACATGCGAACGACGTGGCACCGGAGCGTTTGCCGGGAAAGTAATAAAAGGAAATGTTAGCAGTGGTGCTAATGCTCTTGCGATGGGCTTAAGTGGATCATGTGTGATCGGTATAAATANTGCGAAACATGCGAACGACGTGGCACCGGAGCGTTTGCCGGGAAAGTAATTAAAGGAAATGTTAGCAGTGATGCTAATGCTCTTGCGATGGGCTTAAGTGGATCATGTGTGATCGGTATAAATACCCAGGATCCAAATGCAAGCGGCGGCTACCGCCTACGTGAAACTGATAATCGTATTAATCGTATCAAAAGTAGGGCTAACTCTACGAGTTCAATGAACGTAGACAATAGCGCTTGTACAAGTGCCCCATCAGCATTGATTGAAACATCAGCCGGTGTTCAGGTCAAGAAATTAGAAGGCGGATCGTTGGAAAGCGATAATGTTAATATTGAAAGTATGAAAAAACAACAGCCCACTGTGGTTGTGACACCACTGACCATGAAGGAACTGNATTTGTTGCCACTGGGCGTGATACAGCATGCGTTAAAGTATTGCGCGATATTGAGGTTGGTGAAGAAATTACTTGTTTCTATGGGGAGGATTTCTTTGGCGATGGCAACTGCTATTGTGAATGCGAAACATGCGAACGACGTGGCACCGGAGCGTTTGCCGGGAAAGTAATAAAAGGAAATGTTAGCAGTGGTGCTAATGCTCTTGCGATGGGCTTAAGTGGATCATGTGTGATCGGTATAAATACCCAGGATCCAAATGCAAGCGGCGGCTACCGCCTACGTGAAACTGATAATCGTATTAATCGTATCAAAAGTAGGGCTAACTCTACGAGTTCAATGAACGTAGACAATAGCGCTTGTGCAAGTGCCCCATCAGCATTGATTGAAACATCAGCCGGTGTTCAGGTCAAGAAATTAGAAGGCGGATCGTTTGACAGCGATAATGTTAATATTGAAAGTATGAAAAAACAACAGCCCACTGTGGTTGTGACACCACTGACCATGAAGGAACTTCGCCAAAAGGGTATGACTAAGTACGACGCCGAAATGATCATGGCCAATACCTACCAGCGTCATCATCATCACCATCATCAATCCCATAACCAAATTCTGCATCAAGATCCATGTGGAAAACAATCGGTAGACGGAAGTACTGCAACCAAAACAGGTGGCAACGGCTTTAACGTTGGCCGAGAGTCGTTGCGCAAATCAGCACGTGTTAACAGTACTAGTAGTACAATTTCTTCCGGTTCTGCTGAAGAACAGCCTGTCAGCGTTACAACTGCGCTTGCCCGTAATAGCAGTAGCGGCGGTGCCGCAGCAAAGGCGCATGCAACTACAGCCGCCGAACCAGGGTTTAGTGCTGCTGCGAGCATTTCACGAAGGCCATTGAGAAAAGGAGCTGGCAATGGTGTACCGAAAATCAACACCATCAATAATAAAACTGGCTACGTGACTCGTAGTAGTGGCAGACAAACGCGTTCGACAGCAATTGCGCGCTTGGAGGAGGCAGATGGTTTGGACCAACGGGAAATAACAGGTTTAAATGCGGCAGATCGCCCGATGGAGAATGAGAATGATGAAGACAGAGATGAAAAGAGAACTGTAAATAATCGCAAGGACGAACAGAACACACTTGCAATAGTTGCAACGAAAACTAACGATCGCCAGCGACACGACAAACGGACACGCACGCGCAACGGACTGACTCGTGTGACGGCGTCCTTGGGTAATAACATCGGTGGACGCGTTTTACGAAATCATCACCAACATCACTCAACTACACATCATAATGATGAAGTAGAATCACACACAGGCGTGGACGCGAAAGCAACTGCCACTGATACCCAAACGAATCGTAATAATTATAATAGTAACAATAGTTGTAATAATAGTGTTAGCTTAAGTAGTATTTGTAGTACTAGTAGTAATTGTAGTAGCGGAACAGATTCCAATCAGTTGGTGGGTGGGATTGGTGATAGATTGCCGGCTGGTATGCACTATCCAACAACAGCAGCAATGCAGAAGCCTGGCAGCTTGCTTGCAAATGTTACAGTTACTGACAATGGCGAAACTTTTGATGTTAGTAGCACAAGCTGTGTGCATGAAAAGAATAATATTATGCCGAGTTATCGCAAGAACTTAATGGGATCCTTTGAAGAAGCGTCTTTGGGCGCACCATGTATGCAATTGACAGAGCCTTCTANATAGTGTTAGCTTAAGTAGTATTTGTAGTACTAGTAGTAATTGTAGTAGCGGAACAGATTCCACTCAGTTGGTGGGTGGGATTGGTGAAAGATTGCCGGCTGGTATGCACTATCCAACAACAGCAGCAATGCAGAAGCCTGGGAGCTTGCTTGCAAATGTTACAGTTACTGACAATGGCGAAACTTTTGATGTTAGTAGCACAAGCTGTGTGCATGAAAAGAATAATATTACGCCGAGTTATCGCAAGAACTTAATGGGATCCTTTGAAGAAGCGTCTTTGGGAGCACCATGTATGCAATTGACAGAGCCTTCTTATTCGCGGGATGTGTCCCAAACTCAATTACAGCGCTCAACTCGTCGAAACCAGCTTCGCTGCGTCATTAAATCGACTTCGATGACAATGTCTATGAGTGATAATGGACCGCGTAAAAGGCGATCATCTCAGGGGATAGAACAGAAAATTTACGATAACGCCAATTGCNCTGCGTCATTAAATCGACTTCGATGACAATGTCTATGAGTGATAATGGACAGCGTAAAAGGCGATCATCTCAGGGGATAGAACAGAAAATTTACGATAATGCCAATTGTAACGGAAAAGGTGGATTCGACAAGGGTGTGGGTGGCAAAGCTGAAACATTCAATCGAGACTGTGCGCCTGTGCTTCCTCCCACTGCCATGGAAACGCTGCTGAAGACACCGGAGCGACGTTTGAAGCTTACGCTTCGAATGAAACGCTCCCCTATACTCGACGAAGTTATCGAATCTGGCACAAGCCTGAGTGATGAAAGCAGCAGTTTTAATGGCTCATTCAGTCGCGCATCATCGCATTCAACCGAACCTGTGGAATATGAGATTTTACGAATGGAGGGCATTTCAGAAAATGGCGTCGACTACGACAGTATTCCGTTAAAACGCAAAAAACGACACAAAAGCAAGGATCATCATCACCACCATCGGCATCGCAGTCGCCACCATCAACATCACCGCTTTAATGCGGATATATGTAATTCCCACGAATTGAATTCTACGGCCGCGGACTTGGCGACAACGCCCCCAGGCGCACCGGCTGCGCAGTCTAGTCCCCGCGCTGTGTTGCCAACGTCAACGACAAAAATTGGGGGGATTGGTGTGCAAACGCCTCAGAAAAAACGACTTCGTTTGATATTTGGTAATGAGACGCACACCATTGACATTCCAGCGCTTAGTGTGAACGATAGCCTTAATAATACAACTTTTGACACAAGTGGAAGTAGCGCCGAGTATGATAACGAAACGGCTGATGTGAGCTGATTCGATTGAGTCCAACACCACTATTTCGGCCGCAGTAACTCCAACCACAAGTACTGGTGTCAGCGCCAATACAAGCATAAGCACACGTGCGAATGCTTCATTGCTGGCAAATACCTCGTTTTCCACATCCTCAACAGCACCCACTGAGGCGGCCGTTTCACCGCAATCCAATTCCAATTTGAGTGCTGTGTTCATCCTCAAATTCAGCCTACGTCTCGGCCGGTTCCACAGCATCTGCTTCGACGTCGATGCCGTTGCCGTTGCGCGCAGGTCACGATCGGCAGGAACTCACAGTGCCCACAGCAGCTGCTATACCCCCATCCACCATCACATCAGCTGCTGCATTCACCGCTGTCACAACGACGCCTCCGAAAATATTGCTGGCACGTCAGTGGCGTCGAATACAGTCGTAGCTCCGCCATTGCTGCAACATAAACCATTTACGCTTATGCAGCATCAACAACACAACACTCACTCCGCGCCTGGCACATCCCAACTTCAGCGCATTATTTGCAACACCACGCTTGGCGGTGCCACCAGTATAGCAGGCATTTCAAAGCCTTCAGCTACAAGCGTCCAGTTGGCATTGGCGGCAGCAGCAATATTAACGGTGTTACAGCAGCGCTTGCACCCCCTTTGTTTCTTTCGCAGGCGAGCGTACCAAAACATACTTTTGGGTCATGCGCTCTTCTACCGCCTCCCACTTTTGCGCGCAATCTGACCGTTAGTGGTCATATGTTGCCAATGGGCGGCAGTTTAACTGCTACACACAATGCTGTATCGTCCAATGCATCGCTTTGCGCGCTGAATGCACATGTCAGTACAACGACACCTTTGACGGTTGGAACAACAACAGCAATGTCTAACGTCAGTGGTGCCGGCTGCAGTAGCACTGTAATGGCCAAAAAGGGGACTGATCTTATGAATTGACGTTCATTTTTGACATTGCACATTGCACATTGCACTGCTCATCGAGGTTTTCTGCTGCTGCTGCTGCTGCTGAAGTTGTGGCTGTGTTCTTGGCTGAATTGTGTCAAGAAAGTTAGGCGCGTTTCCGGGCGATATATCGTTTAATATGTTCTTGCAATAATTTATTGAAAAATGAGTGTAGTTTGTTTCTCTATGAATGTCTGTTTGTTGTAAAATATCTTCTTAAAAGCATTTTAAATTTAACGCAGCGGCAAATGATCAAGACCTGACATAGTGATGTAAAGTTATGGTGGAAAGTAGGGCGGAGGGCATTATACATATGTTCATTAGGATAAATTTGGATTCATAATGGTTAAATGTTACAAGTACGCGAATTCGCTCCCTGGTTTCTCTATTTCAAAATACATTTGTGAAATATTTAACAGGCAGGTGAAATGGAGGCTGTAGAGCAGGCATGGATGGCAGTGTAGAGTTTTGTTACTACATACTAAAATTTTTAGAATGAAAATATGATCATAATTTTAAGGTAAAAGTTTCACGTAAAGTTTTTTAAACACAAAGTTTATATAAATGATGTTTTAAATCGTAATTATTTCCCCAAACTAAATTATTGTATATTTTACAAAATTTTAGCCACAAATTTTCATTAGGTATCACTTTAATTTGCCTTTTTTTGAAATGGGAACTTAGACTGCTGGAACAACACTCCTTCAATGGGTAGATCCTTGTTGTTCCATAGCTTGAAAATTACTATTTAGAACTGTTCCAAATCAAATGTTTTCGCATGACTCAGTTGGGTGTAGATTGCTTCACAGAAAGTGGTGCATCTATAAATTTATTTCTCAATAGGATTTTCGTAGATATGAGTAGGCTTTTCGGTTTATAAAAAGCTAAACAATTGAATATATTACAACAGGCCACTTGTAGTGCTGCTGAAATTTGTATAGTTTTCTGGGCCGCTTTCACATATGCATGTATTTTGTAGGTCTGACCCCGTATTTCTCGGACTTTGCAAGTTCGCTGTAGTACGGCATCAGACCTTGTATGTATGGTGCCTCGCATAGATGATGTTGACCTACTTTCCTTTCTCCTTTTCTCTTTTGTTTTGCAGATGGAAAATGTATACAAAACTTTAAAGAAAAATATCTGAATAATTATAAAAATGAATTGAATTGTCGTAGTAGTGCGCCGATTAATAGTTTTTTAGCGAATTGTCAACATAATTTCGACAACAAAAACAACTACAATTACGGCTTTATAGGTCAATGCAGCAACTATAATAAGCAGAGTAATACTGCCGAATATGAGAACAGCCCGAAAGTTCAGCATACACTTTTTAGTAACCTCTCCAATAATATGAACAACAATGTTTGTAACAGTAATAATTGTAATTTGTACATGAACAATGAAATAATGCAAAAGTGTAGCAGAAGAGTAAGAAAGACCACAACAACAAATAATAGCAGCAAGAATCCTAACAATAACAGTAATTCAAGTAATTTAATGGTTAAGAAACTAAGAATAGAAATCAATCGAATTCAAATCATGTACCGCTAAATTGAAGAATTGCTTAAGATTAAAAAAAAAAAAATGTAAATGCTAAAACTTCGGTTGGAGCAATGCCGGCTGAGAAAGCCGTAAAAAATTCACTGACTGACAGTGCAATATTCAATTGCTAATGTTGAGTTGAAGCCCATGTGAACATGAATAAGAATTGTAAGAAAAATCTTAGATATGTACATACATATAATATGTAAAATCAAATAAATATACTGTAGCTAAAACATTTGTAATAAAATTCGGTTGTAAAACAGAATTTAACTTGTAAAATGAATAAAATGGGAGTAACGAGCGATTGTAGAAAAAAAAAAAATGAAAAAAGTTATGCAAAATAAGATATTTAAATACGCTACAAAAAGTGCACACAACGCATAGATAGCATCTTGGCAAATAGAAATAAATAAAAAATACACAAAAGAATTGAATTTTTTGCTGGATAAAAAGCTTAAGAATTAAAAAAAGTCTGTTTTTTCAAACGCATTAATGCAAAGTCCCAGTCTCTTTTATTTCTTAACCACAGGAGCTAACAGTCTCTGATTTGCACTACTTTATCAAAAATACATGCCATGATATAGGAATAAAATAGGCGGATGCTTTGTATTCATGCGTTTAAGAGGACAGCCGATGTTGCAAATACATATGTATTATTGCTGCGAATAACGATTTTGAATCAAGACGCCTTCAGTGGCAAACCTAACGAAAAATAGAAACAAAAAACTAAGCTGTTTATATACATACATATAATATAAAATATCTTATTCTAAACATTTGAAAAAACGTACATTTAAATTAATTGTGAAAAATACACTTACCCAGAGAAAAATTTGCTGTTATTCGCAATGTTCAATGATTTTGTAAAGACTCGCCATGAAGTGATGCAGTATGAGTTCTAACCCATTCGAAATCTTCGAGCAATTGAGACTTGCGTTTCAAGATTTTCTTGAGGCTTATCTAGCGTAAAAAAAAGCTAAGCCAAGGTTTACAACCCACAATTCACAGATTATCAAAATTAGCGAAACCCAAACGCGGTGTAAGATATAAAATATGCAAACAGGAAAATTAAATAATATGGAGTTAAATATAAGTTTGCTGCATTGTAAATAAATAAAAAACAAATTGTGTTCTTTCTATAAATTCTAATAAATAAAATAGAAAAAAGAAATTAAAATAACAAATTAAAAACTAATTACAATAAAAACTGATTTAAATACATTAGACCTCTAATAACTTAGAACATTATAATGGTAAATGTAAAATAAAAAATCGTGAAAATAAAATTGAAAAGCACTAAATAAAACAAATGTCGAGCGATAAAATATTAAAACAAACCTAACTTATACATCGCGTTACTCGTTAGTTTGTCCAATTGATTTAACAATTAAATCTTAGTAAAAATTTATAAAAATACGAAATCATCTGCATTTCAAAAAGAAAAATCTGATTTTAGCAAGTATGCTTAGTTAAATATGTATTTACGCTTGGCCAACATATAATTTAAGTTGATTTTACAATAATAGGTATAATATGTATGCTTGTAAAATATTAAATTGTTTTTTTTTTTTTGTATACATACATACGTACCCACATTCATCTCAATTAATTTTAATGCAAAAATAAGAACTTTTATTTTTAACTGCTATTTTAAATGCATTAAATAAAGTTTCATTAAATATTTGTATACATATATTAAAAAAATAAAAATAAAAAAATAAAAATAAAAAAATAAATAAACACAAAAATTAATGTGAATATGTGGTACACGTGGATGTCAAGTTTGACTATACGACAAGTGCACAGAATTCAGGGGTAAGTTTGAGTGTACATAAATAAATTCGATCACGCTATACTTGTAGCTGCATTGCACACATCGCACACCTCGGTCTAAAGTGGGATCAACTTAAAAAAAAAAATAGGACCATTTTTTTGCATAAATCAATGCATATGACTTACCTCCAAAGAATGCAAATATTTTTTTTTTGTTCATGATTATATACGCCAACTAAAAATCTACTGTTGTACTATCTGTTTTTGTATTATTTGCGTTGAATCTGTACGATCCACAAGCAGTTATATATCCTGATTGAATTTTGAGTTAGCTCACTTGAGATCTGGGTGTGCGATATGTGTTGTTATAAAATTTGAGGAGTGAAGTGCGGGTCTACGGAACTAGATCGATGATCATCTGCAACAGGAAGTGAGGGCTTCGACTACAAAGATGCCTCTTTTAGTGTGCGAGAGTTTGAAGATGGCACCTAAAAAGCCGGAAAGGCGGCTGTATCTCCGGATGGAGTTTGCTGCTGGTGCTTCCGCCGGGTGCATCCCAGCCAAATCTCTGCAGAGCATTGTATTGTAATCTTTTACGGGAAGCAGTCTATAGGCAGTTTAAGCGCAACGCTTATTTAGCTTGTTTTTACAGTCTACAAATTCCGCATATGTTAAGGAACGCTGCTAGACATACATACTTTGGGCATATATGAAACCTCGGTTGTTACGACAGTCTTTTGAGCGTTGAGGTTTGAAAGTAGAATGGTTGTTTCATGCTAACCGAAATTTTACTTAAAAATATACATAAGTACACGCAATTACTTACTTTTCAATAGTATGGTTTTATTTCAAAGATAAATTAGTTAAGCAAGTTTGTATACAAATCAGTTTGTTAAATTATAATGTATTTTTTTCTTATGTATCGCTCTTTTGCGGCTTAAAACGTTATTAATCTGAAAGTAAGCCAGCACAGCACAATCACGTCTTGTGACTCGTGGTGCACGTAGGTATTTTTGTAAAATTATTTCTTCTGGTTTAGTGACCATATTTCTGGAATTCCCATTCCCTGTTGTCCAACGGACATACTTGTCGTGTCTTCAACCAACGTGAGATGCAATGGAAATGAAAAGCATGGTTGCAGACGCCCCAAGCAACTGTGCATTCTTCGCTGGTAGCAGATGCTTGATTTGCTTGGCATTCGATACACAAATCCATAATGTGGTTACGACAAATGGCACAATTGTCAACAACAATGTCTAAGGTAGAAAATAAATAAAAGTCGTGTAATTATCAAGTTTCACCATTTTGAGCCTTTGATGTTAGCAAGGATACGACTTCAAGGTTATGTTGCAATGAAGATAAACTAGTATGAAGCGTGCCGTTAAAAGATACTCACCCCAAGCCCACAATGCCACAGCATTCCACTAAAATATATGAAATTTCTTCTATAAGCTACAAAATTCATGAATGCCATTCTTTTCTTACCTTTTTCACATCGAAACGCTTCTTTTCACCCTTGCTACTCGATGTTGGCACTTCGAAATCTTCCTCGTCGACTTCCATTGTATTTTGGCCAGTCGTTTTGGCGACGGTGTATTTAACAGGAAACTTTAAAAGCAAACGTTTCGTTTTTGCAGTATAATACTGCAATAAAGAAAAGGTTTATTTCTAAATTAAAAATAAAACTGGAATTAGTTCTGTCGCCCAAATTCGGCCAATGGACAGCCAAATGTCAAATTTCGCACGAACGATGACTGTCGCTTCTGCTCAGTGTTGCCTTCTTTTCATACAAAGTTTGTTTAGGGATTTACTCATCGATTTATGTGTACAATTGAAACTTGCCCGAAATAGATGAATATGGGCCACAGCTTCGATATAACGAGCCCCTATCGCCAAAAAGACGTAAGCGAAATTTTTTCACAATTCATTCATAGCATTTAGAAAAATACTGCTTCTTGCTTACTTGGAATGTATGCTTATCTGCGTTGCTGGTAAAATAAGATAGAGTTCGCAACACTGGATATGGTAAATTGATATACCACCCTGTGCTAATTGACATTTGTATTCACTTTTTAAAATTTAAGTTGCATACACAGAAAAAAATTNGGCACTTCGAAATCTTCCTCGTCGACTTCCATTGTATTTTGGCCAGTCGTGTTGGCGACGGTGTATTTAACAGGAAACTTTAAAACCAAACGTTTCGTTTTTTTGCAGTATAATACTGCAATAAAGAAAAGGTTTATTTCTAAATTAAAAGTAAAACTGGAATTAGTTTTCTGTCGCCCAAATTCGGCCAATGGACAGCCAAATGTCAAATTTCGCACGAACGATGACTGTCGCTTCTGCTCAGTGTTGCCTTCTTTTCACACAAAGTTTGTTTAGGGGATTTACTCATCGATTTATGTGTACAATTGAAACTTGCCCGAAATAGATGAATATGGGGCACAGCTTCGATATAACGAGCCCTTATCGCCAAAAAGACGTAAGCGAAATTTTTTCACAATTCATTCGTAGCATTTAGAAAAATACTGCTTCTTGCTTACTTGGAAAGTATGCTTATCTGCGTTGCTGGTAAAATTAGATAGAGTTCGCAACACTGGATATGGTAAATTGATATACCACCCTGTGCTAATTGACATTTGTATTCACTTTTTAAAATTTAAGTTGCATATACAGAAAAAAATGTATGCGTGATTTATTTAAATGAAACTTTATTTCATAATTATGGACTGAGGGAGAAATTTTGTACGGTGTGTGTGCTTTTCAATTCGACTGTTTTCTCACAGTTCAAGTATTTAATTCAATTCTGCTCGCATGTGGAAGAGAGTGGGTGAGAAGAAAAGGGACGAGTACACATGCGTATGTACCGTCAAGTCGTTTCAATTTTCTTGCTTTGCTTTTGCCATTTTCGTTGCTTCCCATTTAAAGAACCAACAACTGGAATTCCACAGAATTGATGCGTGTAAAAGCAAATAGAAAACGCAAAAGAGAATGAGCAAGAATTGCTTTCAAGTACTTGAATCATGTAAATCGGGTGTTATGGATTATGAGATTTAATTCGCAAATGCTAACAATCAAATTTGTGTAAACATGTTGTAATATTCAATGGTTTACTAACGGTACTGAAAAGATCAACTAACGAGAGACCCAGGAAGTGTGCAACTTCGTTGGGTTAGTCCATAGGGACAGAGCGTTATTGTGTGGGGTTTAGGGAGCATGTGAAGGGGTGTCGCGAGTTGAGAGGGGTGCTACGGTGGTGCGAGTCTCCCGAGGCAGACGAAGCTCTAAGGTGGCTGTGCTCCCAAAACGGCTTTCTCAGGCCGGGAATCGGTTAAAGTCGAGATCAACTCCCTGTGAATATCGTTTATGGCCTGTTGTTTTATAAACCTCTGGACTTCGACCGTGAGTTCATACAGATGCCTTCTGACGAGGAAGTTCGGAGAGGTACACGTTTACCTTCGAGCACAAGTCATCAATTCCATTCTCGGGCGCCATTATCTAGTACTAGTTGTTGTAGTTGTTGTAGCGGCACTACTCGAGCGGCAGTCGTCAGCATAAGAGACAATAGAGACTCCCTCTGGTGGGGGAAAGGGCACCACCCTGTGGAACCTCCTGACGAAAGTCGACTTAGATAATTCGCTGACAACCGTTCGAGTCCCTGTGGTAGAGAGTGGATTAGCTGACGGTGACAAATGATTTTGACAAATCCAACGCTACTAGGACTGTTTTCTCACAGGGGCGGTTTCGGCTCAGGTCACCAGTTACCTGGTTGTTTATGGCATTAAGTGCTGTCGTGATGCCGTGCACTTTACGGAACCTATGGTGATGCCTCGCTGGGGTCAGGTGGTACGTATAGTGCGGGAATAGCCAGGCATCAAAGGTCTTCGGTACCGTGAAAAAGGGGGTTATCGGGCAATAACACTCTAATTTGTTGGCCGATTTCCCCGATTTAAGCAGATATCTGTAACGATGAGAGTGGCCATAGACAAATTGGGGATTGAGCATCAGCATGCAAATTCCGTCGGGTGCAATGAATTTTGAGGCTTTCGCCTTCACGATGGCCACCTGAACCTTACCGCTGGTGAACACAAGAGGCACAATAAGTATTGACAGTTTATGCAGCCTTCTGGTTACTCGACGTTTGGCTTTGTTCACACTTTACTCACACCAGAGGTGAAGTTATAAGTCTTCGGACGGGCGTTTGAAATGCATCCAGCGGGAATGAAGCGGGCTGCAGCAGCAGTGACAATCCTGCGACACTTACGCACACCTACGTGAACGTCGGCTGTAGTGGGAAGGGGAGAGAATGTGCTCTCAGTAACTTCCGCAAAGCCGTTCCAATCAGATCGGTAGTGTAGTGTTGCTCAAGTGAACTCTAGTGTGCCGTAAAGTCAGTTCGGTTCATCCACTGCCGATGAGTTCTAAGACCTGTGAGCAGGTTCTGAGGTGAATGCACCCGTTGCAGGAATTACACATCACTGAGGTGGAGTTTGAGCGCAATCGTCTCTGGCATAGGCAGCAGGTGTAGGTTTCTGGTCCAAGATTTGGCTCGATGCTAGCCGTGAGCAGAAGAATGTGGACAGATGTCGCCACACGGACGAAGGCCGTTCGACCTAAAGAGGGTAAGTGCGCCGAAACAACAGCCATTGCTCGGGTAAAACCCGAGTCATTCCAATACGTAGGAATGTCGTCTTATCCGTCTTAAAATTCGCCTTCGCATTTAAATTCGTAGCCGTATTGGAATTCGTAATCGACTTCATATTCGTTTTTGTGTATTCATATTCGACTTCCTATTTAATTTTGTATTCGAATTCTTATTCCTTTTCCTTGAATTCCTATCCGACTTCGTATTCGACTGCGTGGTTAAAGTATCACAAAAAAAAAATATATATTTAACTTTTTCCAAAACAAGCAGAAGTTCAGAGTGCAAATTTTTTTTCTAATTTTGTATATTTTATTACCAAAAGAACACAAAGTTTTAAAAAGGAATACTGCGAAAAATTGGTGCTTTTCGTGATTCTACAATACTATAAAAAAAAATTGTGAATTTTGGTTAATATGTAATAAAACACTTATAAATAATTATATATTAATGCATATACATAAATATATCCTAAATTTATTTTAAAATTAACCATATTACAATAAGAAGTTCGTATTGGCGAATGAATGTCTTTGTAAAGTAATGCAAAAATTCGCATTTTCAATGCGCTTTGGCTTTGTAAGTGATTTTCCACACTTCGAAAAGACATATTGTTGAGTGGAAGCGATAAAATATAGCCAGTGGCATGGATATATGTGTAATGATGGTCCAACCCCAAACGCCAAAGAACACCAGATTTGTCTCTCGAAAAACTGCACGGCCTTTGATTAGAGTATTGATGAACCAAATTGCAATATTGGCCACTAGTAAGAAGGTGACGATTTCGCGACCCGGCTTGCGACGTGCCTGTTTAGAGCCCTTGCAACGTCTATGGCTAGCGTGCAGGATGAACATTGTCTGCAGCGAAGTCTCCGCCAAACTCAGGATCTCAGCAAGCATGCCTTTAAGTTAAAAAAAGAGAAAAAATTGGGAAAATAATATTTTAAGGCAGACATGTATGTACATACGTATCGACGGCTGAGTGAAAGATCGACGTATGTAGGCAGCCGGTTCGAAAACGTCCTATCTCAGAAAACTTTTCGAGAACGCCCTATTTCAGAATTGGGTTGCAGAACGGTCTACCTTAGATTTTGATTGAAGAACGTCCTATTTCAGAATTCGGCTCAAAAATTCCATATATCAACAAATTTTCAATATATTTTCAGTAGAGAGAGGTCGTTTTTGAACCAAATTCTGAGATAGGGCGTTCTTCAACCAATAGGGCGCTTTTCAATCAAGTTTTGAAAGAGGGCGTTCTTGGACCAAATTTTGAAGTAGCGCGTTCTTGAAACGTTTTTTTGGGATAAGGTGTTTTAGTAACGGCTGCCGAGATAGATCGATCTTCCACTTATCCATCGAGTAGATCCGTTTAAATGTCCTTCATACCTTCGATTCTATCCGTCACCGCGTCCCATTTGGAGAAATAACTGCCCAATATGCTGAACATGCCATAAAGGTAGACGCCAGTTTGAGCCACAATTAACAAATGATTGTCCAGCTNACAGAGCTCTTACGCGATCGATCTATATCTGAAATGGAGCGTACAGTCTTCCACATCTCATAGAGTATCACAGCGCAAATGAGTGAGTATTCGATAGTGCAAGGAAATAGGAATGGTGCTACCTCTTGCACTAAAGCACCCATAATGTTGGTACGCGTGCAACCGACAGTCACCTGCCCTGTAGAATTGATAAGCGCATTTTGTATAGTAGTTGCGATGGTCATGTTTACGCTTTTCGTGGTGTGCGGTGTAATTTGTAGAGATTCATTGACGGCACTCCAATCTATACCGCCATGTGGGCCGGAAGTGAATATTGGATCGGTTTTTTCGTTATCATGTTGACTAATGTGATAGATCTCGTGTTTGGTTTCCTCCACCAAGACGTACAGCCACTCGCATAGATTTGTGGCAACCATATGCATTAAGCCAAAACGGCAGGTGACCTTATGATGTGCCATATCCAAGTATGTTGTGTTCAGGAATATAAATTGTATCTGTACGATGGCGAGTAGCATACGTAAAATTGGTGTTATTGCGATAAAAATATCCGCACAACCGGGTTTGCCATTCAATTCGAAGTACTGGCCGAACTCTAGACCCGAGTAAACCATAGTGCCGATGGCAAAAGAGATAGCGCCGACACGAAGATAAAAACTGCCAAAATGAGTGACTTTGTGTTTCAAATGAACATTATTGTTCGTCTCGTCTGGGGAGGGGATTTAAGATAAAAAATGTTAGTTAAATACTTTACAAAGATATATACGTATATAGGTAACACTTATTTTAAAAAATATAGGATGATATTGTATTTAGAGGAGGGAGCCGATCACCTAGCTACCGCGCCTGAGCACAATCTACTGTAAAAGACCTATATTTGGCCACACGCCTTCTTGATCCACTTAATGATAAGCAACGTCGGGATGTTTCTTGGCTGATTGCCCTTCAAATCATGTGCTCCTAGGTAGGATGATCTCAGGAAGCGAAAGGGCTTCGCAGTGTCACATAATGTGCTCTGCTATCTCCTGTTGCTCAACCAGAGATAACAAATCACAGGTTTGAAAAATGTTTCAAACTCTAGAAACCATTATTAAAGCCTCAAATAATTCCTACTCCATATCTACTAAGGTAAAGATGTGCCTTGGTTCTTCTTGTTGATATATGCCAGATTAAGGACCTAGCGTATCTGTTGTTACCTTCCGTACTCGTGCAGTAATGTTGCGCTTCCGCTTTCATCCAGAAATAATAATTCTTACTGACGGAGATAACTCCATTTCGGAACGATAAAGGGCCCTCCAACTATGAATCCCTGGCTTGGATCTCTTTAATTTCATTGCCCATTGTGTTGCGCTTCATGTTACTAAAAAGGAGCGTTCTGGATTGTATTCTAAATACAGACTCCTGCTTCGACACCAAATGTGGCTATCCCTTCAGGATTTTGGTCGTTCGTTGTACCAATTTGTTGTGTTAGGGAAAAAGACTTGAATATATGTGTTATGCTAAACCTCGGAAGGCACAGGTCCACCAAGTTAATGCACAGTTCTCCCACTTAATCTATATGTTCAATGCATTCTGTCATCCATGTAGACCTGAATATTGAAGCCCTCTTAAAAAGGAAGCCAGATGAGTTCGTCTACTACGATGGACCATAACAGAGTTGAGTTCACTCCACTTTGCGGTCATGATTTTGTAGTTAGGAGTCTGGCTCATTCACGTGCTATAGTGGATGTAATGGTTCTGCTACGCAGCGACATGTTGTAAAATTATTCCCTTCGTGTCGGACGTAATTGTCTATACAGCAGCATTAAACCTGCGGTGACCACTTTGTTCTCCATTCTTTTCTTAATTATCTTTGTGAGGTTCTGAAGAAAATGGATGGTAGATCTTCTTGGCGTTGGTTTTATGCCAACAGTTTCCTGTAAGAAAATTATTCCTGAAATGCCTATATATCGTTCTTTGCATGCGATTTAGCAGAAACGATCTAGTAAGACTGATAGGTCAGTATGACTTTGGTTGGTCTGCTGGTTCTTTCCACATCTTTTGCGATACAAACTCCACTTAAAGCACGCCCCGAAATAGGGTATCAAAGAGGACAGCAGATGAGGAAGTACCTTTGGAGATGAGCTGTAATGATGCCATCTGCTCCAGGTGCTTTGAAGGCCACTGAGGAACGTATAGCCCATCTTATCGTCTACACCGCGGCTAGCAATATAAGAGATGCTTTGCAGCTCTTCGTAAAGGATCCGCCTGGTCGTTTCAGGAGCCATAGGTCGTTAGTTAGCGTTGTTGCAATGATTCTGGTTATTTTTGTAAGGTTCTTGATTCATGTAAAGAAATGATTCCATATGTGCCTTTTTGCACATCTAATCTTCGTATTTTCCTCAGTGAGGGCATGTTTGTGCGTCTCCTTTTCACCTTTCTTCTTTTAGCTTTGTTAAGGTGACATTCATCGTTTAGATATATCAGTTCGAAAGCTGTTTCAGTCTTCTTTAATTTGATACCAAATTTGTTTAATTTTGATAAGCGATTTGTTTATTATTACGAAAGGACTTTTATTTCGGCCTTAAAAAAAATTGGCGAAGTTTAACTGTTATTATTGGACTAAAAAAATAAAAGGCCGCATTTTTCCGTTATTATTGGACTTTTTCAAAAAAAAGTTCCTAAAATAAAAGGAATCCAGGATTCTTGTCCAAGAGGTGTTGGGATCAAAGGAACACTTATCAATTTATTTTACGAAATTTATTTTTTAAAGCATCGAAAAAAATAACTGTTATCGGTCCCTGAAAAGCTCATTTCCACCAAGTCTTAACTGCAATTTAAGCCTATGAGAAAAACGAGATTATGACTCGAATGGGGTAATTGCTCACATTAAGTAAGAAAGAAAAAAAAGCAAAAAGTAAGAAATAAACTTTGCCGATCACCCCTTGTTAA